TTCAATGGTTTCATTGCATATGAAACGTCAAATTTTGTGGGATAGCATAGTTCATTTGCATACATTAGTTGATTTTTGTTTTTGCTGGTGCGACAGCTTCACTGACCTCTGGGCCACTTTAGGCTGCTTTAGAAGTAGTTGTCCATTTATGTTCATGTAGCTTTAGCATCGTCTGGACCACTTTTGCGGTATCTATCCACATTGGCCCGACCAATTTTGCGGCCATCGAACTGCTTAGGCAGTCATTTAGCGGCTTTAATGGTCATTGTTGGTAGTTATATTACTCTTCTCTATCACTTCGTTCTTGAAAAGAAGAGGTGGTTAGAGCTCAGATTTATTCCTTTGAGAATTTTATTGTTTGAGTTGGGTTTAACGTGGGATCATTTTGGGGTCATTGTCTTGTTTCCGAACTCAAAGCCTTCTTAACTTCTTTATTTTTATATAAAATTTGGTATTCTTGAGCTAGTTTATTCTTTGGATTATTTTAGCTTAGTTAAGCCCGATTTGTGCCCATTTTGAGGGCATAACTTCCTTGAGTTATTAGGGACGTAATGACGGGTTCAATTTTAGAATCCCATTAAACCATGAGCTAATTGGGGTATATTATAGCAATATGAGTATTGTTCTTCTCATACTGACACATAGTTTATAATATTTATAGTATTGTGGACTTTGTAGGACGAAAAGAATAGCAGTCAACTCCTCAACGCTTAGAAATGAAAATTTGGCTTTTGGATAGGCTACGATCTACTTTCTTTTAGATTGTGTTTCATGAGATAATGCTTAGTAAGATGGCATTTGAGTTAGGAATGTATTGACGTGTTTAGGATTACTTTCTTATTCCTATTTTCTTGATTCTTGTAGGAGCCTCAGGCTAGTATTGGATTGTGAAATCCTTAGCACATGCTAGATTATATATTATTTAATTACAACTTAGTTTAGTGTTAATAGCCTCTTCTGAGTTTGGTTCAGGCCTAAGGATAGTGTTGTGATCTACATGCCTTAGAAGGAGATTTAATGATTCTTTAGTTAATAACACAACTTCTTATAGTCGTTATTATGGATTAGTGCCCTTAGTTAGTGGGGAACCTTGTGTTCTCTTTGATAAAATGGAAATTCACCTTAAATAGACTCTTATTCTTGATTTGTGATCCCTATCTCAGATTGACTACGTAACATGAGTGGTTGATGAGTCGGATATTTTGGACTCATTTATATCTCTTTTCTTATGATTTTGTGTCGTTAATGTAGAGATTGAGGCTAATTATCCTTTGAATGGTATTTGTGGCTAGAAAGTAATGAAATTGAGGAGAAAAGAGTTGAAAAGGAGAAGTCAAAGAAAGAGAAAAATGACAATCTAATGTTGCAAAGGTAACTCAGGACCGCTTAAGCACTAAGTAGGTCAATAGTGGTTTTTTATATAATCGTAGGTTGGTATTAGTTGTACCTAGTGTTCACTTGAGTAGTACTTTTGGGATGAGGCGGAGATCTTTGGATTACTTTTCCAGTTGTTGCACTTTTTATAATTTACTTTGTTTCTTGAGTTATGGTGTCAATACTTGTTGCATATATTGAAATATTATTTGGCTCGAGGCCTAGGTCGAGGACCAACTCGATTCCAAATTAGTTTCAGAGTATGGTGATTTTGGTTATGTACTTTTGATTGTCTAGATGCTATTGTTTAAATAAAGGCAATGGCATGCATTGCTTAATATTTACTTTCATATGTTTCAGTATATTGATTGGCTCGCATGATTTGTTTAGATTTGCCTTGGTTTACCTCTATTGGATGCATTTAGACTGACTTGGATTGGATTGTTATGATGTTTCATAGGAGATATTGTTGGATTATCTTTGGGTAGTTGATGTACATAGTAGAATCTTATTGTAATTAGGTTATTAGGCTGGAGCCTCCTAGTAAGTTCCTTTACCTTAGATGTCTACTTCATTTTATTATATCTCATTGTTTTTTATTACTTTTACAATGTCTTGTCTCTTATTTTGTTGTTGTGATATATAATTCTTATAAACCTGCTATTTATACTTGTTTTGTATTTTCAGCTCAGTCAGCCTACGCCTATTGAGTAACCATTTGTTGGTACGCATACTAGACTTCCGCACCCTCTAGATCTTAGTACGACTTCTCATTGTTGACACGCCTCTCGTGTGGAGTAGTTGTTTACCCTGTACACTTGCTTTGTTTAGTAACTCGACTATATACTGATACCTGGTATTGGGGGTATTCTACATATGTTTGATTTTATCTCTTTCTTTTATTTTGATATTTGTTCCTTGCTTTTATAAGTTTTTCTTCCAGGTGATAGCCTGTTATTCATAGTTCCACACTATGAGTCCGGCTTACCTAGTGATGGAATATAGTAGGCGTCATCATGATATTGAAAGACGAGATTTTTAGCTATGTTGGTTACAACTTGTCGTCAAAGTGAAAAGGAATGAAAGAAATAGGGGGATCACTGAGATAATGAAGAACACAAACAATCCAAGTAATTTCAGCAGATAAAATCCTACATAGGTCTAGCATTGGTTGTTTCATGGATAACCAAGAGACAGGACGACCCCCAAGACTACTGATAAAACCATTAATGGAACATTTGATATCGGCACAAGACGCACAATTGGAGTCGCAAAAATCAAGTATTTTAAAAGAAAGAGTGGGACGCGTAAAAATCCCAAGCTCAGAAGCACCGGCCACGTAACGAAGAATATAAAATGTAGCACCTAAGTGTCTTGAGCGAAGATATTTCATGTAATCAATAAGGAATCCTTTGGTAAAAACATTGATAATGTAGGGATTAGTAATGTAGAATTAGTAATGCAGGGATTAGTAGTGCATGGATTATCTTTTGTCAAGTGTTTGGTTCACTACTTTCCACTTAATTTTGTATTTGATTTAAAACTCTACAAAAAAAAAACTTTCCTATGAGTATTTATCTCATGTAATTGAATCAAGGTAGATAGTCGTAGAATTGGAAATATTTTTTTAAGGATTTTCCGTTCCATTTAATTAGTTAAATATTTTTATATATATAT